AACCAATTCAATAAAAGATATGAATAACCAATTGTATTCACTACTCACTGGAAAAAGATATTTTAGGACTAATGAAATTTAAGTGGTGGGATGTCACCTTTTCTTTCCCTTTCTTTCTACATGGGCCCATCAAGTAACTGGCACAGTGAATAAGTATAGCCAAAAATAAAGGAGTTTGACATTTGCATTAGCTTGTCACTGTTTCTCATCTGAGAAAATATACAGTATCATTTTGAGTCTTTGAAAATTAATTCTTACTTGATAAATATTTGGGAGACAGACTTGTTTCAAAATGTGAGGGCAATGACAGAAAAATAAGCCAAAGGACTCCTTAGTTGTGAAACTGTTGGGCCCTAGTAGCACAAAAGACTATTATAAAAACTTGTGTGTGTCAAAGGAAACAATGAACAGAGTAAAAAGGCAGCTGACAACATCACTAATAGTAAGAAAAATGCAAATCAAAACCACAATCACTCACAACTCACACCCCTTACAATGACCCACTATTAAACAGAAAACAATAGGTGTTGGTGAAGATGTGGAGAAACTGGAACCCTTGTATGCCGTTGGTGGAAATACAAAATGGTGCAGCCATTGTGGAAAGCAGTATGAAGGTTTCTCAAAATATTAAAAATAGAATGATCATATGATCTAGTAATCCACTTCTGGGTACATATCCAAAAAAATGTCAAAGCATAATCTCAAAGAGATACTCGTATACCTGTGTTCTTTGCAGCATTATTCACAATAGTCAACAGGCAGAAGCAACCCAAATGTCCACCACCAACAGATAAATGGATAAAGACAGTGTGGTATATATACACAACAAAATATTATGCAACCTTAGGAAAGGAAGAAATCCTGTTACATACTACGACATGAAGGAACCTCAAGACTAGTCAAAAAGGGGCAAATAATGTATGATTCCACTCATATGAAGTATCTAAAGTAATCAAAATCATAGAAGCAGAAAGTAAAAAAGTGGTTGCCAGGCCAGGCGCAGTGGCTCACATCTGTAATCCCAGCATGTTGGGAGGCCAAGGCGGGAATTGCTTGAAGCCAGGAGTCCGAAACCAGCCTAAGAAAGAGCAACATCCCATCTCTACAAAAAATAGAAAAATCATCTATAATGGCACATGCCTATAATTCCAGCTACTTGGGAGACTAAGGAGAACTGTTTGAGCCCAGGATTTGAGGTTGCAGTAGGCTATGATTGACATCACTGCACTATAGCCCAGGTAACAAGTGAGAACCTGTATCTCTCCTGCCTCCTTCCCAAAAATTTTTTTTAAAAAGTGGTTGCCAAACATCAGGGGGAGCATGAAGGGGTATTAATGCTAATGTTTAGTGAGTATAGTTTTAGTGACGAAAGGTAAAAAAGTTCTAGAGAGCTGCTGTACAGCAATGTGAATACATTTAATACTACTGAACTGTATACTTAAACATGGTTAAGATGGCAAATTTTATGCTATGTGTCTTTTACCACAATTTTTTTTTAAAAAAGAACAAAAGCTTGGCCGGGCACAGTGGCTCATGCCTGTAATCCTAGCTCTCTGGGAAGCCGAGGCGGGTGGATCTTTTGAGCTCAGGAGTTCGAAACCAACCTGAGCAAGAGTGAGACCCCGTCTCTACTATAAATAGAAAGAAATTAATTGGCCAACTAATATATATATATAGAAAAAATTAGCCAGGCATGGTGGCACATGCCTGTAGTCCCAGCTACTTGGGAGGCTGAGGCAGCAGGATTGCTTGAGCCCAGGAGTCTGAGGTTGCTGTGAGCCAGGCTGACACCATGGCACTCATTCTAGCCTGGGCAACAAAGTGAGACTCTGTCTCAAAAAAAAAAAAAAGAGAACAAAAGCTTTATTGAATGGCATCATAATTAAGCATTTGTAGGGCATGAACATGTGCACATGGCTCTACCAACAGCACCAGGGTGGGAAATTTATTCCCTACTTTTCATATGCCCTTCCACATGGAAGGACACCTGTTGATGTAATACCCTGACCTCTAGCATATCCCCTAGTGACTTAACTGAATGAAGACTTGGGCAGAGGAACAGGAACATGGGGAATACAGCCTGACTCCTCTTCTCCACCAGGGTCAGCCTTCATGTAGGAATTACATGCTTTGCTCTCAGCCACGTGTTAGAAGCTCAGCAGCAAAGGCTCCTCCTGTGTAGGAGACCTGTGGCTGCTGCCTATAACTGGGAGCCAAAGACTCCCCACTTCTGGGGTTCATACCTGGGAAGGCTGTGTGGCTGTACACCCAAGCCACATCCTCTACCCTCGCCTTTATAGCAGTGGTAATACTCTTACCTCTACCTGCCCAGCTCCTTTATCTCTCAGTGGATTCAGAACTCAACCCCTACGAAACACAGAGAAAGGTTCCTTTCTTCTCTGCAATTACATTTTGAGGGAGGGTGACCATATCCAACATGAGCTGGCTTCACTAGCTGTAAACTGCTCCTGGTCAGTATTTTATCATGGGAATGTGCTGAAGTTTCCAGAAATACAGTCAATATTTGCATTTCTGTGACAAAATTTCCACAGCCTCTTTTGGAGTTCCAGACAAGATATTGTCCTACCAATTAAGAAGGAAACTCCTCCTTTCAATTGACAAAAATCATAAATATAATTGCAATGGTCATTACAGATATTTTTAAGAAGTTGTTTCATGAGATAGTTAAAGGACATATTTTCGTTCCATATTTTTTGTTATGACAAATTGTATTGTGACATATAGGAGTCTTAGTAATTCTTTTTTAAAGTACCCAAATACCTCATTATAATCACTCTTTTTAATACCCTGAAGCCACACATTATCTGATGCTGTCATATTTAGTCTTCTTCTTGGAATTGTCAGTATTTTCTCAGTCACCTGATATCCACATTCTATATCTTTTACCCATTCACTTGCTCATATTCTTAGGTATATAGGACTTTTACCCACACATTTTAAAATTGCTTTGTACTAGGTGCTTACTATTTTTTCTTTATAAGGCTGTTCAACAACCTTGTTAATAATTTCCTTCTAGGACATTCCATGCTAGTTATACATTGAAGGATAAGTTATAGGGCCTTTTCTCAAATAGAAATATTGAATAACTGGTATATAGTCACATATAGAGTATAATGCCTACCTATGCAGTGATAACCACATGAAATGCTTTCTGAATTATGACATGGAAGATCTTCTGAATTAACTAAAAAAGAAATGTTATCCTCAATGTACTCTTATTATTATTAAATGTATTCTTATTGATAACCCAGCTATTAAATAGATCAGATCACTATAGTCCCTAGTTAGAGAGAAACAACCCATTGCATGTGACTTCATCTGTCAGGGTCTAAAGAGGTGCCATAGATCATTAGATTCTCCAAAGCTAGTTCTCTATCTGGATGGTTCTGCTGATACCACACCTTTTCATTGTGAGGACAACACTGACATATGAATTAACATTTCATCTCAACAGCCTAATTTAGAGAAAATAAGACTATATGACACTGTGGAAAGAGGGGATTGTACTGATATATAAGAGGGGCCACAGAGATATATTTCAATGTATCAAAACATGAGAACTAGCACCTTGTGGGGGTAAGAAACAGTAAAAACCCATCTATTTTATTGATTTACCCACATGAATTTAAAAAAAAAACTACACGAGGGTCTTCCTTTGTACACTATCTTTTGCAGCAGAAAATTGAACATCCTGTGGATCTCAAAAATGTTACCTGATGAAGAGGTTAACTCTTCCCCATGGGGGGGGGGGGGGAAGAACAGCTGATTAGGAATTGTTTGCTTTTATCACTAGAGTAAAAAATCCTAAATAGTTAAGGTATAAACAAATGCCTTTTTCCCCCCGCTGAGGTTATTGAAAAGCTAATTAAAGATGTGTTTTTCATGTAAGGTATTACTAGGAGACTTATTTTTTTCAAAAGAGAAATTCAGAAAAGGTTAATAGACAAAGACCTTGGTAGAGTACTAGGAACAGTCATTATGTGCATAATGAATTATGCAACAAAAATTGTTTTTAAAGAAATTTGTTATGCACTGATAGTTACAAGCCAAGCACATAGTACATGAGGAAGACATATGAAATATATGCATACCATATCAAGTAACTTTTTTGTTAGTTTCTCCAAGATAGGTAGCTACAACATTACTTTCTTCTCATTATAAATATATTTCATTTTAATTAGTAGATTGGTTCTTAAAAAGGTATCTGAGAATCAATCCCTTTCCTTCATTTCTTCAGAGACATTTCACCTTTACTTTTGATTAACTTCAAATGGACTGAGCCACTCTGACAAGCCCCATTAGGTAGGCGATTGGTGACTTATGAACAAGCACTTATATTAAAGGGAAAATAGTTATATTTCAGTACTATTCTCTTTGTTTTGAAAACAGATTTGAGGCGGGTTCTTAAAGGATGTATTCGTCTGTTTTGCAAGTCTGAGTGTTTTATCCAATAAATGTATCTTTGAATGCAGGATATACCTATTTTGTGATTATAAATCTGATGGTGTCAGAAGTCAACATTTTAACATTGCCATTGGATGGAAGAAGGCATAGAAATTAAAGCGAAAGTCTTAAGTCATAGATGGATTTAAAAATAAGGAAGTATCATTTCTCCATATGTGGCTCACATTTTTCACTTAATCAAGTTTAACCATAGAAGACATATAACCAAAGAACAAGACTGCAAAAGACTGCGCATACAGCAGCTTAGAGTCAGGCTCCACTTTTTGTTTCTAGCAGTTCCAGCTGGTCCCTCCCCCTCCTGCTTCTATGTCCTGAGCCAGATCTTGGCCTGTGAGTCAGAGCACAGCTCTGCTTCCACCTGCTCCCATCTGGAGGCACCCTTCCTTCCACTCTTGTTTACTGCAAAGGTCAACTCCGAAAACAATCACAAATTAATGGTTCATGCCCTATAAACACCCATTAAGCAAGCCCGTGATAGAGGACAAGTGGCTGGATTTGTTCACAGAAACACTTACTGCAAAATCACACCCAGTACTCTTCTGTATGTCTTCCACTGTCAGGCCTTCCCAGAGCTCAATGAGAGTTAGCCCTTTCTTCTTGTCCACATCAAACACAGCCTGTCAGAGTTAAGAAAATAACAGTGACAATTTCTATCACAATACTTACATTATGGCACAAAACATAAATAACCTCTCAAATTCTTAAAAGAGAGACAAGACCCAGGACAAAAGAGTCTGAAAATCAGCACTTAGAAAATGTCAACTATTGCATTTTTGTGAGAATAAATGCCAGCCCCCCAATCAGGAATTAGCGGTGGAACAGTGTTGATACCAGAAAATAAATGAGTACTGACCATGGATGGCATCTGTTGCTATTGTAACCATGTGTTTTAAGCTATCTTCCTTTTGTTAAGCCTAAAACTTTTAGTCTAATTAGGTGATTAATAATGATTTGAAGAAGGACAGGAATGAAGAAAAAGAGGCAAGGAGGAAGGCGTATTTGGATGGTAAAAGCACAGGGATGACTGGAAAAAGTTGATAAATGCTGCTGGGCAAAGAATTATAAGAAACAAAAGGCAGCACTTTGAAGTGCCTAAGAGAAATTATATATATAAAAAAAAAACCAAAACCCAAAAAGCTACCCTGGCCCTGAAAGATACCCAGGGAACTGTTACAACTTTCTCTTTAAGTTCTATAAAAACACACAGGTCATGAGAGTAGAACATGAGAATATCCCTCCAATGCGCAAAAGCAAATGAAGATGCTGACGTTTAGGGCAAGCAGGCGAAGGCCAGCCTCACCTGAAACCTTCCATTACAACATCCTGGTCTGTAACAACATGTGATCGTAGTGTCAATTGTATAGCTTGACCTCAGCTGGTAGAATCAACCTGTTGTATCTGCTTTAGAACACATGCTTTCACACTTAGACATATGACAACTTGTGCGGAAGGGACCTACAAAGTCATTCAGTATAACCTTCCACCCAAGAATTATTCAAAACATTCTTCTCAGATGGCACTGCAGCTCTGCTTACATACTTGCAGTGGGAAGAGGCTCACTTGTCTCGAGGAAGGCTGTTTATTGATGGGAAGCTCTAAACTTAAAAACCAAAACTGCTTCCCCAGGACTTTAACCCTCTCAATCGATAGTTTTCCTCCAGTACACTGGACATTTTCTCTCTTTCAGCTCTCATGGCTAGTTTCTGCTTTCTCAGACTTAAATGTTACACTTTCCAGATGTTCTCTCTCCTCTGGATTTAACCTAAATTCAACTATTATTTGCAGGTTTAGCATCTTTGTTTTCATCTACTTTGGAAGTCAAAAGCCTGAATTGTCATTTTTAAATACAGTCCTGCTAGGAGGATAATATCATGACACAGTTAACAGGTAGAGGAACCCTGGCTTTGGAGCTGAACAAGAATTTCATTCTGCTGCACAACAGCTACACAATCTCTGGTGAACCTGTCCTGGCATTTGTAGATGTATATCATAAAAATCTACTTCCCAAAATTGTGATTGAGGAAAAATATAAGAAAACGTAATCGGAGCACCCTTCCTGGGACATAACAGTAACACTGTACAAGCATATTCTTACTCCTTAGTAGCTTAACATCTCACTGGTGTGTGAATCTAGATCAAAGCCCTAAAGTGATCATGGCCGCGCCCATTGATGGATATTTTTCCCCAGGAACAAAAGATGACTGGGACCAGTGATACTTGCATTCTTGGTTTGTTTGATGAATTCATAGATAACTTGGTTGACTAGAAAAGAGAGTTTAAATTTCAGAGAAAATATTTCAGCAAATTTCCCTTTTGTTTGTACATTTTTGTATTACAAAAAAAATTTTTAGTAGAAGTGTGTGTTCTTAGATTTAAAAAAATTTATAATTTAGGAATGTCTATATACTCCATTAGTTTGCTTCATTCCCAAATGACATTTTTTTAAAGTGGATACTTTTTTCTTTGCAGAAAATGTTTCTTAAGCACTATTCATACTGATTTACTTTCTCCTGCATTATGAACTGTAAATTTATAAAAATAGAACAAGTAAGAGAAAAAGAACCTCTGGATTATGTCACTAAGAAAAGGTACAGAAATGATTTAGGGACAAGATAACTGTGGTATCCTGAATACAGATTTCAGTAACCAGGGAGATATAATTTACAGCAAATTGACTTATTGTTTCTAAACAACTTTTATTAACACTTTCATCAAACCTTATTTAGCACCCAAGATCATATATCAGACAGCCAAGCATCTATTATTAAAAAAAGAAGGAAACTTACTTTTGAAATACTTAGGAAGGTTTCCATTTAGTGGTATAAGGTATAAACAAAAACTTGATAAAAATGGGAACTAAAACCTAAAAGCTTCAATAAGTTAATTATCAAAAATAATATAGAAACTACTTTGTCTTACTGATAAATAAGTTAATTACTTTATCACTATCATAAACTGCTACATTATGGATAAAACACTCACAGCCCAGGCGCTGGTGATGAAGGCATCTTTCATAATCTCATTCTAGCAGCTCAAATCAAGGAAATCAGTCATAGCTTCTTGTTTCAAAGGGCAACCTAATGGAATTTTCCCTGGAGCTTATTATAGGATTCTAGTCCCATACCTGCTAGTGTCAGGCATGGATACATTCATTGCCCTAATGATACTACATTCTCATTCACTCATTCAACAAGTATTTACTGAGCATCTACCATGTATAGAGCACAGGGATAAACATGCAATATACTCTTCCTTGAGGTACCCAAAGTTCTAGACCTAGCTGTGCCCTTCTCTCTACTCATTCTTGCTATACAACGTTGTCTACAGATATCCAATTATTGCCCTATGGTAATGACTTCCACTGACTTTTCTTGTGAGCTCTAGATTCAAATCTCCAACTGTTCACTGAAATCTTTGATTGGATGTTCTCCAGAACATTATATTGAGAATGTGCAAACTGAACCTATCTTTTCATGGCTCCCATGGATCTCCACACTCATCCTCCTCCAGTTCTGGGCTTCATTAAGGATACAGCAGGTCAACCATCCTCTCAGAGCACTTAGGAATCACCTCTGTCTTACCAACCATGTCTGATTCATCATCAAATTAGGTTGAGTCCATCTCCTAAATCTCTTTCAAATCTCTCTTTCTGTCCCATGATTTAGGATCTTGACATTTCTTGCCTAATCACTGATAGATCCTTTTAACTAGACTTATCTCCTTTCTGCCTTATCTGCCTTATCTCCTTTCTCTCACTCTACATAGAGGCTACAGTGTTTTTTTCTTATGTAATTCTGGTTGTTTCCCCGGCTATTAAAAAAAATCAATGAAGGGTTCTCACTACTTTCCCTATGAGATCCACATTTCTTAAAGCTTCGACATCCTCCCATGATCTGGTGCCTCACTGCCTTTTCTACCTTAGCCTGCAAAATCTGGCCATGCCCTCACTCCAACTGGTTCCACTTGCAGGTCCTTGAACAGGCCATGACTTCTTAACACCTTCATGATTCTGCATGTTGTCTTCCTTTTGCTTGGAAGGTCCTCTTTGGTTTTCTTCTAACTTATAAAACTCCTACTTATCTTCAAGACTCATTGTTCAATCTATCAGTTTTCTTAACAAGAAAAGTACAAGTATTCAGTGAGTGTGGGTCAGGCATCATGCTAAATGTTAGGTAAACAGTGGTGAATGAGATAGGCAGAGTTTAGAGGTTATCTCAATACAGTGGTTAGTGCTAAGTTAGGATAAGTACAAGGATTCATGGAAGCACCCAGAAGATGTGGGGAGAAATGGGGAAAGCCTGTAAGAGAAAGAAATATATAGCTAAGACATAAAAGATAAGCAGGAATTAGCCAGATAGATGGGATGGGAAGAATGCTGCAGGGAGGATGTGCAAAGTCTCAGAAGAACATGGTCAGGGGATAATGCAATATAATCCACAGCATTTTAGTATAGCTGAAGTGGGAAGAAAGTTAAGGCAGAAAGAAAGAGAGGCTGGAGGAAAAAGGGTATATACTGCGAAATGCCTTGTAAAACATGTTAAAAGCTTGCATTCAATATCACCTAAAAGCTTTCCTTGATACCTCTGCCCAGACTGTCAGATAGCTTTCATCTATGTCCCTAACTTAGCACCTGCCACATATCTCTTTCATGGCCTTTATCATGCGTATTACTGTAACTGCTAGTAATGCTGGACGCCTGATGTCTAACCCCTCTTGAGTGTGATCCCTGAGGACAGAGTCTGTGTCCTCCTCCTTTCTGTAACCCACCACTAAGAACAGCTTGCTCAGAGAATGTACTCAAAAAATGTTTAAATGAATAAATGAACTAAACAATATGGTAGAAAGAAAAGGCATAAAAGTTTTTTTAAATAGTAATAAACTTAAATAACAATGTAAGTTATGTCACAAGAAAACTTTAGATGATGCTTGCCCAAATGAACAGTGGGCCACTCTGAGGATGAATTGCTGTGTGCTGAGATGGTGCAAGACCTCTTCATAGCAAAAGAGGCAAACCGCATTAGGCTTAAAGGACAGGTAGCAGTGGGGAGGCAGAGACACAAGTGGGAGGCACTGCAGAGAGAAGCCCTGAACTGGTAAGAATAAGGCAGGACACACCTAGAGTCAGGGAGTAGGCAGAAGGGCTTGTGGGAGAAGGGAGAGGGGGGAAGAAGGTTGCTAGAATTATCCTTAGAAGGATTCATTCCCACTCTATTAAAGAAAACAGGATGAAGGACCACTTTGCCTTTATTTTCAAAGTAACAGATTCCTCTCAACAGCCTCTGTCCATAGTTTGGAAGGGATTCAAGAAATGGTAAACACTCAGAAAACAAATGGTGAGATAAAATACTCTGCTGTTTTATCCACCTGTTCTATAATCACCCTTATGACATTCCACATAAACAGCTTTGGGGAAGGCACCATTTAGGATAAAGCCTTCCTTAAAATCTGGTTTCTGGGAACTACTATGAACCTCCTAACCTACCTCAAAGGCCTGCTTTAGGGTGCTTCATGCCACAGCCCAGTGAAGGTTAGTGAGACAGATTCATGCCAAGACACGACTGCTACAGCTCTTGGCAAAAGGAACAGCATTGAAGCAGGGGCAGGAACCCTGATACAGATTATTCTGTTTTGTGGCTTCATCACAACACTGAATCAAGTAGCACCATCTTCCCAGCTGACTTATGAGAATTATGTCATTCCAATATCCTAGGTTTAAATCTCGATCAGAGAGGTGACCAGCTGCACGCGGCCGCTGGTGATACTTCTCTCGGATCTGAACAGCTTTCGTTTGTACCACTGGCCAACATTTTTCATCTAAGGAGAAAAATCTAGAGAGGCCCTTAAAATGGCTGTTGTGTTCTGATGCCCCACTTTACATTAATAAACAAGGGCAGAAAACACAAAACACTTGTATTCTGCAAGACACAGAATACATCTGGCTTACTGTGGAGCCTATACTGTGATTTGCACCCAAAGATTAAAACCTAATTTTGACTGAATTTCTTAAAATGAAATCCAACAATTTATACTTGTGATTTAGAAAAAAAAAAAGAAAAAAGAAAGGCAGGAGTGATAAATATATTCTTAACTTTGCATATATCATCCAGCTTGGTATCTTTAGTCAAAATATAAGGGTTAAAAATCTTTTCTCTGAATATATCACACTGTCAAAGATACCAAAGACAGTAGCTCAATTCTGTGTGTATATTTTTCCAGAGAGTTGCACATGAATTCTACATTTAAAAACATCAAATTGACAAATTTCCTTATACATACTACCCATGGACTGAGTTAATACTATGACTATCGATATAATACACTTTCAGAAAGTAACAAAAATTGCTAAGAATGCTTATAAATAAAAAAAGGTGGTGGTGGATATTGGCAGAAATAAAGAGAGAAAGGCACTTTACCTTTTCAGTAATAATGCGGTTGACACATTGCTTTCCGGTCAGTGGTAATGTACATTTCTCCATGATTTTATGTGCATTTCCCTGTTTTAAAAAAGAAACATCAAAAAGAGTAGTCAGGGAGTAATTCTTATTTAGAATTAGTATAAGTACAGAAGAAACAGGAACTATCAGAGGAAATTGTCTCCTAAGTACAAGCTGTTTAAAAATCTTTGCACAGTCATGCTTTTTTACTGTCTCTCTGGAGGCAGCATCTGTCCCTGAAATAATTTAGGAAGAAAGCCAAATGAATAGCCAAAGTGTAAATGGTTTGGTTGGGAAATACCGTGCCACACATTTGACCTTGCAAGCCTCAGTCCTTGTGTCATCTGGTGTGAAATTTCACTTCTAATATCCTGCTTATTTTTCTCTTCTGGAGAATGGTCTCCTTGAAAAACATGGGCAGCTATCTGTCCAGGATATGAAACATATACAGAACACAAATGCCTAAGTCTTCTTTTAAAAAAAAAAAAGTTTTATTTGTTAAAAAGGTAAAAATAATATGCACACAGAACACAGCAGTGCTGGGCCCTCTTTCTTATCCCTAGACTTGTTCTCAACAGCAATCCATTTCAAGGTATTTTTGCTTTTAGTATTTTCTTCTATTCTTCTACACATTTTCTTCTTACATCCACATTTTTAAATATTATGTTTACCATGCTATTTATTTCTTGATTGATCAATTTTAGACATTATTTACTGATTCCTTATCATGGCATGATTCTACTCACTTTCTTACACAGCTATTTGCTCTTCCTGGAGTTTGTCTGAGCCTCAGTTTGCTCGTTAGCAAATGTTTGCCCTGGCCTCTAAACATATTTTTTCAGTTACTTTTAGTCATAGTACCTTTCTTCAAGCATAAAATAAAAGAGGGAATTAAGAGTGAAAACCAGGTTTTCACCCATTAACTCCCTCCATCCAGCCCTGCCCTCCCCGTCCACTTCCCACCTGCAATACAGAAGTGGCCCTGCGGCACATCTGCGGAACCAGATGAAACACTGGCTCTGAGGAGCTGACCTTCAGATCATTTTCTTCTGATTATGACTAAGCTCCTTTTTAAGTATCAAGCACCAGAAGCCTAAATGAATATTTCCTTTGAGGTTGAAGGCTAGCCTAGCATATTCTAGATTTTCTCTTAAAAATGGCAAAATGCTTCTATTGTTTCCTTTTGGATCTAAATGCGTCACATATGATATCACCATCATCTTTAGCCACCTCAATGTTTTACCTATTTAAACATATACCTGGTATTTAGTGTATCTCTCGCCCAAAACTGGTGTCAGACCAAGTATATGGTCAGAGGCAATGAATTCCAGATAACTGGATTCAATTAATAAGATTTTATTTCGTGTGATAATTTGTCAACTTAGGAGTGTACCAGAAATTAAAAAGGTTTTGTGTACTTAAACCAGTACAAAGCATTAAAGGTATTAAATCATTTTTTAATGAATACATGTATGAATTAATGAATGGGAAGAGAAAGAGAAGTCTATTGAGAATCTTGGATGTATTTCAAAAAAAGACAAACTCTATTACCTTAATTCAGTCAAAACTGGTGCTAAATACATACTAAATGGATAGACATAACACCTTTAAAAACACATTATATGTTTCTGGATCTTAATGTATTAGACAATTTATAGCTGTAGAAATAAAGCCTCATTTTCACTTCAGTTTTAGTATCTATTTTCCTTTTCAGATTGCAAAATTTGCACATGCCACAGAAGCTAAATTAAGTAGGTGAAATTAATGATGAATATTCAAACTTCTACAGTTGTCAGGTCCCCTTACATTTAATATAACTCAAATAAGCCATGTCATAATGAATTCCAGGCCTGACTTCAAACAAAGCGAACAATCTGTAGGCCTCTGAAGAACATTTTCTGCAGGGAGCTCTTAACTCTGTTCTCATTATTTAAGCAAGATCTGCATCTGGTGTGAAAGCAGCCACTTGGATTTTAATGAACGACCAATTCCATTTAAAGGGGAATCATGAATTTCAACTGACAGAATTAACTGCACCCTACCAATAGAGACCTTTTATAGACCATTTTCTGCATAAACAGTATAGCACAGTGGTTAAGTGTGCAGGCTATAACCAAAGGACCTGCATGTAAAACCCACCCTGCCCCACACTGTCTGTACAAGGCCTACATGCCTATGCTTCCCCATCCATGCTCTACCTCACAGGGTTATTGTAAGGCTTAAATGAAATGCAAGGTTCTGGCACTTAGCAAGTGCTCAATAAACGTCAGCTGGTATTATTTATACAACCCATATTTAACATTTCTATAATCCACCAGGGAATTAAGTTCCTATATAAAATCTGACATAAAATTGTGTAGAAAATGGCCCAAATATAATTTCTGAGACACCAAAAACTAATGAAAACACAACACATATTTGGGGGCAAATCATATGGCTTGCCTAGGAAACTGGCACCAAGTATATTCTTGTAGTTAGACCAACAGAGCTAGATGATTCCATCCACATTTAGTTCCAATACATAACACAGATCAAGAAAAGAGAGAAAATGAGATGCAAAAAGATTAAAAATGTCACAATTTCAATATTCAACAACAGGTTAGCTATGAAGCCAAAATATGACTGGCTCCCACGTTAGCACGCTCTTCTAACCAAGCTAGGCTGAGCCTTACAGTGTGCTATGGAAGCTGCATATATTAGTGATTCACAAAGGAGGAACAAGTGCTGAGTTTCCAGCATTTAAAAATAAATCCTAATAAAGAGATGCAGTATAGTGTGGCAGTAAAGAACACCATATTAGGAATGCAAAGACCAGGTTTTTGGTCTTAGCTCTGCCATTTAACAGTCATTTGGTCCCTTAAATTCTTTGTGCTATAATTTTCTCTTCAGTTGCCTTACACTACTTAGCTGATCATTGTAGAAATCACATTAAATGTTCTGAAAGTGCAATAAACTAGGAGGAACTGAATCTATGCGCAAATAACCAGGGTTATTGAGGTGCTAGGGACATTTTCATCCTTATTCTTTCTTTCCTTCTCATGAGATGTCAGAAAACACAGAGGAATGGACAGAAAATGCAGCATTAGAAATGCTTTCATTAGTCCTGAAGGCTCCTCGTTTCAATACGCCCTTATTTGTTAAATTCATCACAACCTTGGTAAATACCCAAATCCCTTTCCTGCACCTGCTTCCCTAGTTTTTCTCTTTTTCCCCCTCAGCACTTACAGGCAAGATGTAGGGTAATATACCATTCTCTTTTTAAGTGACTTAAGACCCAAGTACTTTCTATCACTTGTGTCATGGTAATCTCTCTTTAATTCTTTAGGTGTCTGAATGAAATCCTAGGCCTAAATTCCGCAGTAATCAACAACTCTGGTTAAATGGTAATAAATCCCCTTGCTATCATAACAATAAGAGTTATCACAATGAACTTAATCCCAAGTAAGAAGCTCTCTCTTTCACAACAGAATGATTTTTGCTTTTAATGTCAACATTTCATTCATCCGAGGCAACTGGGCATTCGTTTAAGATTTTGCTTTATATAAAGCTTCATTTCATGCTCATCTTTTCTGCTAAGTGCTTCTTCATTGTGGCCGCAATGTATTTTTTTTCTTTCAGGCACCTTCTTTGGGAAAGCTCTAATGATCAACTACAGAGAAGACATAAATTCTAGGAATTGATTGTTCTTAAAGGGACCAAGCCTTTAAGCCTACCTGGAACACATACCACCATGTACCCCAGATTCAAATGTCACCACCTTCCTGTGCTTCAGGACTTCGCTCAGGTGCCACTTTCCCTGGGATAACCTTCTCCAACATCCCTATCTTGTGCCATGGTCTGGTGTCCCAGAGGCATCCCTGGGCGGTTGGCCCACTTGGGTGCTCCTGTGCTTCCCTCCCTCACCTCACATGTCATTGTTGACCTCCTGCCACCATCCGCAACACACCCTGAGCTAACTGAATGCTGAGACCATTCCTCTTGGTATCTACAGCAATCAGTAGAGCACTAGCAAACCACAGCGATCAGTAAATGCTGTCTGAGTATTATATTTCTGATTCAAGGAACTCCAATAGAGTTGGAGCTATAAAATGCCATGTGACTAATGTCTATGGACCACTAGAGGCTGCCTTCTAGTTCTAAGATAAGAACTTGTACATTCCTAGTATCTCTGAGCTCACTAGGAGAAGCACAGCTAGCAGAAGTATGTGAAAGGTTTTATCACACTTTGGGGAGACAGTTAAAGGTATTATAAAAAGGAGAAGCAAAGACACCTCAGGACTATAATATAAAACATACAAATGTAAAAGTAAAGAGAGAAATCAGGAATTACAGGTATTTTACTTCTTCCACCTGTTCCCTCCTAAAGCTTCAAGGCTCGCTATAATCTGCCAAAAAGAGGGGCTACAAAGGCTGAACCTGGCAAGACAATACTTAATACTTTGTCTGGTGGCACAGGGAAGCCAATGGCAGGTCTCTCTTTGGGCTTGCCAAAATATCATAAAAGGAACCTGATTATCACTGCCCCTGCCCCTTCCTTCTCCTCTCTGATCTCTATGCTTAAATCAAGTGAAATATTTTCTACACATGCATCCCCATAGATACAAAATATTGGGGAATGCTGTATTACTAAATACAATGACTGCTCCATTACTATGATGATTAATGTGGTACACAGAAAAGAAGAACAACAAGGTACAAAGAATAAAAGGACAGGATGAGATTACTCACACTGAGTTTATCCTCTTGGGATGTTACTGGCCTTTACACAGCACCTACTCAGTAGAGATTCCAACAATCCACACAGGACTTCAGTGGAGAGACTCCGCTAACTCAGAAGCAGAGAACATTTGCTATTATGAGTGATTCTTACATGTAGAGGTAATAACACTTTGTGGTCACAGTGATACTCTCAAGGGGAAGACTAGCTAAATGAAATAGCAGACACAGCAAACCATTTCCCTGAAAACAGTCTTCAGGGCTTTAGATTTTAGAATAGAAGGCCCCTTTTTTTTTAATATACTATAATACAAAAATCATTATCATGGCCAAACTTTTCTCTG